TAAAATCTCATGCTAGTGACTTGTTCCAACACCCCAACGTTGTTCTAGTGCTTTCTGCAGCATTTCTGTGAATGGTGCATCACTTTTATGTGCCAGAGGCATCTGTTGATGTCCCCAAGAAAAAATAATCAAAGATCATCTCAGGAAATGGAGGTCCCTATTTGCGAAGAAGCTTGGAGGAATTATAACAGAAGGAAGCAAGCAAGTTCTCAAAAATACAAGGGATGCTTGATTAATTTTTCAAAAAAATGGATTTTTCTCGGCTCTGCTCAGATACATGACAAACAAGATCAGTTTATGCATAGGACATTTAAGGAAGTCTCAAAAAGTTATCAAATTATAAAGAATAAATAGTGGAAAATTATTTAAACCTCAAAGCGCAAAAGATCAACCTAACAGTACAACTGATATCCCCATCAAAGGAAATATTTTAAAACGAGGCGTATTTCACAATTCATTATTTCATTATTTTGTATTTCACAATTCAGGTCCAGTTTGTCAACAGATTAGGGTCTAATTGCAACATACCAAATGTACCAGAAAGAAGCCAACTTGTAATCAAGGGACTTATGTGGGGTACAATGTACAATACTTGGCTAAGGAGCTAAGGTATACTTGTATTACACCTCATCACAGCCCATAAGGTCAAGTCAACAATCCCCACTGAAGGAAATAATTGGAAAATGTTGACCAAAAAAGGTTCAACAGCGCAGTATTAATACAGGTGGTACCATGCAATTTGACCACATCAGAATTGTCCAGCCTGAAATTTTATGGACAAATGTGCTGGGAGGTTGACTTGCAATTCAACCTCTGTCGTCCTAAAATTTGACCCACAGAGAGATGCAAAATGTCAAAATAAAATGCATAAAACATCGCATTTAACATTGTCTTACAATTTTACTGTTTCACAATTTGAACGTAGTTCAGCAACTGATTGGGTTCAAATTGCAGAGCACCACCTGTACCAGAAAGAAGTCCACATTTAATCAAATCAATTATGAAAAAATATATTCCAACAACAAAAATTGTATGCACTTTATTAATGATACAGTATATAGTAAAGTTAATCATGCAGGGAGGGGATCTTCCGAGGGCACCGATGGAGAAAACAGGCCGCTGCTCCGGTGATTCACCACCATGATGGGCGGCAGCATCCAGGCCGGCATGCCCCAACTCCCAACGATCTTGTGTCGCCTGGCAAAGTTCGTGTGTCCACCCTGGATCCGGCAGTCTTGCAACCCGTGGCCACAGTCATCCCCACCGGGTCCAGCAGTCACAAATGCCCCGGTTGGGTCCTCGTTTCTACGCATGATACGCGTCATGGGCGATGCACCTGCTTGGGACCGGAAGGGTTGTCGGGATTGCGACGGAGTGAACACCTCGCAAAAGCAGAGGATGATGAACAGGGCCACGGAAGCAACAAGGGACACAATGGCTGTGATCGTGATGACCTTCAGGGACTCGGGTTTCTGGTCGCGGAGGAGGAACTTTCTGGACATGACCAGGAACGTGACCACGACTGCTGTCGTGGCGATGAAAGGTAGGTAGAAAACCCACCAGCCCTGGAAAATTTTCAGAATAACCTCACGTACGCGTTCAATTGGGAGAAAACCTCTTCATTTATTTTTTTTAATTTTTTCATTGACTAGCACAAATCCATTTTTGATAGAAGCTGCCCCCTACGATGCAACCACCAGTAATGAAAGACAGCAACCCTCTATATATGCAAAGCTGATCACTCAATTATCGATGCATTACAGTACCCATACACGCTTTGAAGTACACATTCATCCGCAATTTTAAAGGGGTTTTTTACTCCATTTTTACTCCATTCATCCTCGACCGCGTGCTGCTAATTTTTTTTTCATCTTACGTTTTATTTCAGCCCTGCAGACGTGGGCTGTTGAAAAATTAAGATTTTATCTTTAAAAGTGCTTAAAGCTCAGGATCATAATCTTCATTAGCCGGAAACTGTGGGAGAATTCATTAACAAGGAAGAAGTGTGGTGGTCGAAAATTATATCTGCTGGTTATTAAATACTTTACACGTCACTTTCAGGCATAATTCTTAAAAGAAGTACTACGTAAAGATAGACTCTCCCTATGCAAAGATTTGACGGTATGACGAACTTTTTCAGGGTCTCATAGCTAGGGGCCTGTATCCATATTATAGCAGCTCTCTACAACGATTTTTATTCTGATCTTCTAAATTTCGTTGTAATGAAAGTCCACCTATTTAATAACTCCGTAACTGAAGCTCAATGTTGAGGACAGATAAATTTATCTTTAACAAAAATAATTATAAAATAAAGTTTACTTTCTTCCATTCACTCTCTAACATACGAACTAATTTTGCCACTGATCAGCCGCAAACTGGCACATCCCAATCTTTCTCACTGGCAAAATTTTCAACACCTTCAAAATACGATTTCTAGTTATTTTCATTCAGGGGCGGACAAATCCGCATTAGCTAGCTGATTTTTTAGGGAAATTATGATACGTTATGCGCCCGGTTTCAGACGCATATCGTAGTTTTGATTTTTTTTCTGGAAACTCAGGACACTAATATTTTCAAAATACTGAAAATAAATATTTTCAAACTGAAGTATCGGCATTCATTTGAAGGTGCCGCAATTATAATCACAAGAACGTGCTTCCTTTTGCAGCTCTCGCAATCGAAAACAAAACTAAGGCAACTGCGAAGCAAACGAGAAATTCGCAGTCTCGTTTCTCGTTCAGGACTTTGTTCCAGTTTTAAATTGAACGCATGTTCATGCCAAAATCTTACGCACTGGAGCTCAAATTTAAAATTCCCCTGCGAGTTATTTCCTCAAATAAAATGTATGACAATTACTATAAGCAGAGCAACTTCAAGATCCGCTTCTAACTTTCTATAGAAACTCTGATAATCGGCAGGAAGATAGAAGAAGGGAAATGCATCAAAAATACAAGCACAATCTCGGTTTCAACTTACAAAGATACACGAGATGAAGATCACGGCGCACGTTGCCCCGTAAAGCAATGTAGCATGTCCTGCAGGATCATTGTAAATCCCTTGCAACGCTATCTTGTTCAAGAGAACAATTCCCCGTTAAGTGAATCAAAATCCCACAACATCACATACACAGGGCAAGAAAATCAAACCTGCTTCGCGGAAACGGTCCGGTTGCTTCATCCACAGAGCGTACAGATTTATTCCGACATATACCTGGAAATTCATAAGATGCATACAAGTGTTTTTCCTTGCACAGACCAAACCTCTCAAAGTCGAATTTCAAGCACGAGCAAAAAAAATTTCTTAAGGAGGTTTTGAGCAGTGAGGTTTGAGCTACGTACACAGATAGAGCAAGTTGTGTTGCAGAAAACATTAAAAGAATTGCAGGAAATTGTAAATGGGGATATTGCTTCTTACACAAGTCGACAGGATGCTGAACTTGGAGGCATCAGTTAAATTGTATCTTTCACTTCCTTTCAAAACACATCAAATTCAATTTTCATTGTTTTTATCTTTCGTACGTCAAAAGCCAAAAGGCCTCAGAAAATTTGAGTTCGGGAGTTTTAAGAGGAAAAGCCATCCAGATCCAGTTACAGAGGTTCTTAATTTATTGCTTCCAAGGGGAATTCAGATGGGACTTGAAAAAATTTGAATTTGGGAGGTATTCGACGTGGAGTTATTGAGGTTCAACTGTATTGGCAATGAAGTTCCCATAGAAATCCCTAGAATTCATACCAAGCCAAGAATAGCAGCAAGGGTGACAAGACATCTTAGCAGACGATCGAACAGGCAGCACATTTTCTTTTCAGGAGTGTTAAACCTGGTCAGCGAAAGCTGTTGAAAGCTGTTCCGCTAAAAACGGATTACCAACCAATGCCCCCGTAAGAGAATAAGAAATTTTGTAGGAGGACGTATACACGAGGATGTGGCATTAATGTGTTAATCATCAATTCTCTTGACTTGTTCTGTTAATCTCCTGCGCTAGACAGAATGGCATGTCCGAAGCCAGCATCCACCAAGGTGTGCCGTCCTTGTGGTATGTACCTGCTAAATGATGCACGATTTAAAAAAAATTAAAAATCAATGATTTTCAACCCTATTTGGTTTGTTCAGATGGGTTGCAAGGTGGCCAGGCTGGCCCACCTCCACCAGAAGATGACGAACCTCCATATCCGGGTCGCAAGGGTGCCTACTGTGGTCCAGATAAAGCTTCTTGGCCTTGGTCTGCGCGACCATATTTCTTCCGGTAATATAAAATCATTTCCAGAAGATTCTTGTTAATTGCAATTAAGTACTGTACCGCAAAATGTAGAACACGAATTTGATCAGGGTTCTAGTCAGAAGAGTTTGCTTTGTGCGGGACTTGCACCTTGATGGCGACATCTCTGAGAAGAATGAAAACCTATCGTAAATTCTGAATCTTAGATGGCATAGGTCAGGTGCGTGGTGACTGGTGAGATTAGGTCAATTTTTGGAAGCTCATTAATGCACACACAAAATAAATTAGCTCCTTTTGTCATTGTTGAAATCAGTGCAGAAACCCAATGAAGTTCTCTCAAAATGGATCAACCCCATCTTTCCCTTCTTTTGAGCTTCAAATATACTAAAAGCACCGAAATTAATTAGTTTTTGTGCATTAAATACACGCTGTACTATTTACGACAGCCAAATATATACGTAATAACGAAGTACAAACCGGCCTTTAATCATATTATTCATTATTTTTTAAAGTCTGTCGAGCTAAAAATCTGAGTTTCTGACTGCTTTGAAACATTAAAGCAAGGGTTGTGCTTTGTTTGTGTTTCTTATAAATGATATGTTCCAAAAAACGGTCAAACACAGTATTAAAAGTGCTTTTGTCAGCCATCCGCAAAGCAGAACATAGAAAAGTATGTACAGTATTTCTTTAAGTGAGTTCATATATATTTAATCTCTTTTTCTCTCAAGTATACTGTACTGCTGTCTTTGAGCAGTTACTTCAACCTCTCATTTCACATTAATTTTAGCTGATCGATTGTAGAATTGAAAAAAAAAGAACCTCAATGTGTAATCCGAATTCCTTTTGAAGTCCTGCTTTTGACAGGATAACTTTTCAGTGTTTATATTTTTGGAGATACAGTACTCAATTTTTGATCAATTTATTTTCAGCCAATATTCCCTGGGAGATTTCGACATTGGTAGGGTCTTGATGAAGGGTGAATTCGGAACAGTTTACCTTGCCCGAGATTATCGCACTCGAGACCTGGTGACGTTCAAAGCGGCTTACAAGGATAAACTGATGGAAGAACAAGTTTTGTACTTGTTGCGTAAGGAAGTTGAAATGCAAGGCTATTTTGAGTGAGTTGATGATCATTATTGAAGGTCTTTGCCTGATATTATTTTGTTTTCAAAACATCTTCAATGCCAGTCATCCGAACATCTTGAAGCTTTTAGGCTTCTTCTCGGACGAGGCCAGAATTTACATTGTGTTTGAGTATTGTGAGCATGGTACTTTGGAGCAGTACCAACGAACCCAGCCGGGCTGTCGACTAGAAGAACCCCTGTAAGTATTTTTTTTTGAAGCGTCAATTTTCATGCGAATGCAACTTATATGTAAGGAAGCCTTTTTTAGAGCAGCAAAGCTGACATTGGATGTTACGAGTGCTTTGCTCTATTTGCACGATTTCAACTTGATGCTGCGGGATTTGAGACCACAATCTATTTTGATTACAAAGGACCTCACTGCGAAGTTGGCTGATTTTGCATTTGCTGTATACACCGTTGGACCAGTGTAAGGATAATGTTGCGATTTTTTTTAGTTCAGTTCCGTTCCCTGAAGATTTTACCTTTTCATGAATTGATAGCTCGATTTTCAGACACGTTTGTATTTTAAGGTTTTCTCAAGATGTTGCTGAGGCTTGCCAGGACAAAAAAAAAATTTACTTTCAAGAAGAATAAATTTCTGCACGGCAGTCATTGAGATACATTTGCTACCTGATACTTTTAAAGTTAAGTTAAACTCCCCATAAATGAATAGTGAAATAATAATATACCGTAGTCGAGATATTTGAACGCATTGGACAATGACATTTAATGCTAGCAGTATTCTCCGTGTTACGAATCAGTTTTCTTTTTTCTTGTTTGTCCAAGGAGATCCCCTGAAAAAATATTCTGTTTGATAAAATTATATGATGGCAGGAGATTCAATCTTCATGAACAAATGAAATATTTGGAGTGTCAATTCCGTTTTCGATTTGGATTGGCTGATATATCGGGCTTCAGCTGAAATTATTCTGAAAATGCCGAGGATCATTTTCTAGAATTTTACTTCTGGCAGACATGGATTTTCTTTCAATTTTGAAAATTAAAAATTATACTGAATTTTTGTACAGTACAGTATATGTACTGTACTTGCGGTTGTGAGTGAAATGTCTCATCTTCTGATGGGGCGTGGGGGATATGAAAAAATCAAATTTCATTTCTGTGGAATTGCTGTAATATGCAAGCAGATTTACTGGAATAATCTTAAATCATGATTTCCAGAAAATCTGAGCCAAGGACGACGCCGGCATTTGAAGCCCCCGAGTTTTTTCTGGACCTGCCGGTTTCGCGACTCGCTGACCACTGGCAACTCGGGTGTCTCATTTACGACATGCTCACTGGGGATTGTCCATTTGCCCCCCAACAAAGTTCTGACACCAGGGATCACATTTCTGTCTATCCCGG